GCGGTGCATGGCTGTACGGCTGAGGACTTGAACTTGAAACCATCTGCCGTAAGCATACTCGTGTTGCACATACGATGCGTCAGTGCGAAGGAATCTCGGTCGCCCATATTGAGAGAGTACCGATAAAAGCCGACATATCGCACGCTGGAAGCTCACCATCGCTGCAGTTTGGAATTGGCTGCGGACCCGAGAGCGATGCGCTGCCACCTCCTCCTCCTCCTCCTCGTCTCGGCGCTCGTCGCGACGCTTGCTGCCGCCAACAGCCTCCGCGCCGACGACTGCTGCGCGACCGGCACGTGCCCCAACGAGTGCCATCAAGCGCGGCTGCAATTGAGCCCGCGATGGAGCGCCAAGCTGCGCAAGTACGTCAAGACGCCTGTGTATCGGCGATAGCTCCGCCTTCTCCGATCGTCCTATGCTGGAATCGCACTTCTTAATATGTCGATATATATACTGCTTCACCACCCTCTCGGTACCCAGGAGACGACGTCGTTGGAGGAACTGACCCTGGGTGCGACCTGCTCCTCGGCGGCGAGGTCGTCGGCGTCCTGCACCGACCTTAATGATCAAGTACACTGTACGCGAGTCGTGACACACGATCGATGGCGTGCTTCCGGAGAAGACTCAAACGACGCCTTCTGGTGCATTCGAATATATATTTGCCTCGACAATGAGCTGCTACTGCTATCACGCTATCATGGACGACAGCGTCTGAGATTACATCTCGACGAAGGCGACGCGAAACCATGTGGCACTGGTAGGTGCGAACACCATCTCGGTGGCTCGGTGGGTCCAGAGGTGGGTCCCGGTGTCTCGGTGGGTTGTCTGATCGAGTCGCCAGAATTCGGAGCACCCAAGGTTCAGTGACCCACGAAAGGCGACCACGACCAACAGAGAACGCAACGGCAGAACGTCAAGCTCCAAGACCCGCCATTCTCGACAACAAGCCAACCTGCCGCGCTAACGACTACTGTCTCCTACTAGTAACTACTAGTAGTTTGTTTGATAGATCCTAAGTAGGGACGTGTCGCCGTGGAATAGCATAGCGCCGTTGAATGTAGTGTGCCTTGTCCAAGCAGCACAAGTTGCACCGCGGGTGTGCCAAGCTCTCTCCATGACCCTGTTGGCCGCTTGATGTACGGAAGCTTCCGAAGGTCTCCATGCGCTGGTTTGAGTTATGGACAAGATGGAAGCGACAGTCGCAAAGGGTGCCAGCTTGGAGCAATGCTGATTGCGATCGTTTTGGGCGTCTTCACGCATTCACGCGACCACCTTGGAGTTAAGAACGACGGGATATATTTCGAGAGGCGTCTGATCAGAGCCAAACGCGGTGGACGACCTGATGAGCGACGACGGAGCGACCGACTTCGATGTTGCAGTTGCGCGCCAGCAATCCACGTCAATCGAGCAGAATTGTGTAGCAAAACGCTTCTTTGTTAGCTCAGTAGCTGCAATCGAATCGTCGGTGGCATATTTCACTGCGAAAAGTGCACAAGCAGGGTACATTGCCAAGGGAATCCGGCAACACACCGGCAAAGACTCCTCGGATGACGTGGCGCTCTGTGACAGCGCCAAACCGTTACACGTCGCACCGTCAGGAGTCAGCATCTTGGACCAGTTTGGACGACTTGTGCAAATAAAGTCTTATCGGTTTATAGCATGCAACGTCATACAAGAAAGCGAGCTCGCGAGGAAAGGTACCATCCTAGGCTGGGTTGAGGGCAAATGAGTGTTTTGGGATACGAGGCTGGATCATCACCAACTCGCTTCTCAAACAACGCCGTCCAGTACCGTGCACCGAATTGTACAGTACTAGACGCGTATATTCCGCGCCATCAACTTATATTAATCTCGCGAAGAAAACTAACCTCTTGAGCCAGGAGAATAATTGATTGAGATTGTTTCGGAGACTGTTTGATTCTCAATCATAAAAACTAATCCCACCAGGGACGCGAAACTGTCGAAAATGAAACCAATCACGAAACCCATTTGACGATGCTCACGCTCTTCGCGAGGAAGAAGGGCAAGAAGTGCAAGGACATCCCAACATACGCGGAGCAGCTAAGGGCGCACGAGCTCAAACACGGACCTATCTTTCCTGTTGCTCCGATCGCCAATGGGATCGCAGCGCACAACACCCCAAGTGTCCAAAAGGCGGGCCAGCCCGAGCCTGCGTCCAACGTCGTTCCGAGCGCTCACGGGGACGCCGCGTACGACTCTGGTGGGGACGATAACGACGTGTACGTCCTACAAGCGGGACGGCACGTCAACGACCGGACTAAGCCGTCCGTGGAGCTACGGCAAGACCAAAAGGACCAGCAGAATTTGAACGCGCGACGCGCCGCTGAGATAGCCTGGAGTGGCCAGTTCTTTGACCACTTGAAGCACGTCGCATATTGGGCGACGCCATTGGAAAGACCAGATGCGGTGTGCAGCTTGTGCTCGAGCCATGCAACCCACGCCTGCAATACGTGCAACATGTTCTCGGCTTGCGCCATCTTTTGCCATGACCACGCCATCAGCCACGCCCCGCTTGCACACAATGTGGTGGACCGCAACGACAACATGATGCATCGACCAGTGAGGCGATGCCTTCCATGCCCATGCTCCGCGACAGGTGCTGTCCGCGTGATCCCCATGGAGGTGTACCTCCACAGCTACGACGCAAGCGAAATGGTGGCTATCTCGTGCAAACAGTGCAGCCCAACAGCAGTTCTTTTGCGTCTGGGCTCCTTCCCAGGCTCGCCATGCATCCCATGTATTACGCGCCATCGATACGCGTTGTTGACGAGATGGACTGTACACGCTATCCTACACTAGCACATGGGTTCGCGTTCTCGATGCTGGAGTCTAGCTGCGCGTACCGCAAGGCTGCCAATGAAGTGTCATACTTAGGCGCAGCCAAAGTCTTCTTTGGTGAACGACCCGAGTACCAACACGATGTCAAGGAAACTATATATCGGTCGTTCAAGACGGCGATCTGCCAGTACGAGAAGATCAAGCACTTCATGACGCATAATAAGACTCGCTCGTAAGACGCAGCAACGAGACAATGTAAAACTAGGATTCAAGTCTTCAATGCACAGTTCACCCGGTCTCTCGGTATGGGTGTTTTGCGCGCGTAGGACGTCAAAACGACCTTTTTCACTTAGAGGAGCTTGCAAATACTGCTAGCATTCTAGATCTCGGCTCCTATCACGCAGCAGCCTCATCTCACCCGAGGAACTGCCTTTCCCCCTGAGCCATTGTGAAATGTCTGGTT